ACAAGCACATAAGCTTCGGAGACAATCGCCTCTTGCAACGTCCAAGCGCGCAGGATCCAGTCTGTCTCTTCATCCAAGCGCACCAGCTTCATAAGGCCACCGGGCAAGACCAGCGGGAGACCTGTTTTGTAGATATCAAACATCCGCTGGATCTGCCATGCCTTGTCGTTGCTATCAGTCTGCATTATACAGAGTCTGTCAAGCCAGATATAATCTAATCGACGACGCTTGCACGCAATGCATGCCTGTTGTATGATGTTGATACTAATCGGATCACCATCAAGCGCGCCCTCGACCACAATTGTGCCTGAGAGCGATTCGGTGCGATTTCCTTGCCAGATATACGAGATTGCCGCGTAGGCGGCTGGCGGTCGGTTGCTAAATTTGAAGTTGTCAAACTGTACGATTCGGAGGACGGGATCTTGGTTGCTAAGTAAAGCTGCGCATTCGACGAGGCGAAATTTCTCGGGCGAACCAATGTTAGAAAGATCGACAAGATTTTGTTGCGAGATATTCAGAGGGACCTCTAAGATCACCTTGGGTTCCATGGCGCCTATGGTAGTACGGGATCAGAGCCGACACAATTTAATCGGAATCGGTGACTCGTGGGTTGAAGCTGGAAGGGTCAATTGATAAGTCGGTAAGTCGGTTACCCCACCTTGCAGATACATACCAAACGTAGGTCGGATGTATCAACACTGGATCAGTCAGGCACTAGTCTAGTGTACTAGAATCAGGTAGGGCACGCTGATTGTTTGTACTATGCACTTCGTAGGTGTATGTCAATACGATTAGAACAATAAGGCCGAAGAAAGTTCCTAGAAAGGGAAATAAGTGATTCAAAGACTCAAGGCATAGGAAGCTGATGCCAATTTGTGGTTCGTTGGATTCCGCATAATTCCATCTCAGGGTTATCGATATACAAACAGAGATAAGTTTCTCTATAGCCGCCATTTACCTCCTCATCACTTTTCCTACTCTGTATTACTTCCTCTCAACGTCAAAAAACTTCAACAAGATACAAAAAAAAAATGAAAACATACAACAGAAGGGATTCGCTGGTGGTCACCCACCCAACTACTAACCTCCCGGCGTGTGGCTTAAGTACGGCTGAGCGGACGGGAAGCCCTATTTTCCACACCCTATGGTCGTATGTGCTTCAATCAAGTGCTCGAGGCTTCATAAGCTTCAATACTGAACTAAAAAGACACTTGACGGGTCACTCATCCAAGTGGGTCGGGGTGAAGGTGTTCGGTATCAAAGATAAGCAGGTACGGACATGCTAATCCTCGACTAGATGTAGATGTATATATTCAATAATACTCTGAACTTTTGGTTGAACAACAAATCATGGTTTTTTTTTTTTTTTTTTTTTTACGGGTAGGACGCGTGAGAACTAGCTAAACATTGAGACCACTGGTTGGAATGGTTGACTGGCCCTGTTTAGACCTGGATCCTTGATATAACTGTATTGATTATATGACAATCAGGACTTTCGATCAAAATCTGAATTACTTCATAGTAGGCTGTATTGTGTGGAACAGCTAGCATTCAAAATATACCAAATGAAAAAAAGTTCTCGCAGTTTGTCTGATGCGAAAGCATCTACTTTGCCAAGTCATTCCATCCTCCCCCTTGTACATATATCAACAGCTGCCGGGGCTACACACTACCCCCAAATCCACACCCCCAAACCAGTCACAACCCCCATCACCGCCTCAAACGGCGCGACCCGTTTCCACGCCTCCTCGCCCGTCCGATAAAACACCACCGCAGCCAAAAGCCTGGTCGGTACCGTAGCCGCCATCATCGGGATGTTATTCTGATAGGCGACAAGAGCATAGAAAGTACCCAGTGTCAAGGATGAAAGACTTTTGCTTGATTAGAGAGAAATATAACAGATCTTCAATATATAAATAGCCTACCTCATCGCCTGAATAGTCCCTATGCTGACGCCCCGTAGAGGCAGGTATGGCGATTGCGCAGCGGAAACGGGAAAAAGGAGGGTGTAGAGACCGCTGCCGAGAAGGGGGAGGGATTGGAGGGCGAAGAGGTATTGGGGGATTTGGAAGGACATGTTATTTTTGTAGGTGTCTTGGACTGGGGTTTGGGATTTGTAGGTGCTGTGAGGTGGTTTTTCTGGTAGATGGGTGAGATGTGGTGAGATTGAGGTTTCTGTCCGTCAGCATCCGCGCCACTGTTGTTTGATTAAGGCTGGAGACCCCACCACGGGTGGCTTGATCCCTTTCGGAATGCCAAATGGGTGGACAGTAATTTATTCTGGGGAGCTGTATGATGGAATTTTGGGTCTGCTTTGATGTGAAGGGACATGGTGAAAGTCCAAAGAGATCAGTGAGGTCCCTAGGAAGGGACATTTGGGAAGAATATTATGGTCTAGGATAATGTTGTTGGGACAACCAATTGATATAATAGAAATATTAATGTGGCAAAATACTATTCCATTGTGAAGAACGACGCGACTTCGATGCGCTAAAAGCAATCGAGCAGAAAACTGAAGAAATGATACCAGTCCAGCCAGTGCAGATCACCACGTCAGTCAAAGCGTGGGTATTAAAGAACTCTTCATTCAACGTAAGACAACGCTCACAGAAAGTCACGAATTCCCATCTAATCCAGGAACATCAGCTGACCATTCTGGTTCGTAATCCTCTCATCCAGCCGAATCCAGGTGCGATTCCATCCATCATTGCCATCCGCCAACTCCGCCTCCAGCACACGGCCCCCATCAACCAAGCGAACATTTCTAGCAGACGCCGCAAAGTTTCCGTTCCGCTCCCACGCGAACTTTCCCCAGTGGTTAGCCAACACACTGTTCAACGGAAGCACCGAGAGCTGCAGCTCCCCGGACACCCGTCCACAAGCCGCCACCAGATCGTGGTGACTTTCGAGGCGGATATCCCGAGCCGAAGCGGAGAAGTTTCCGCGCAGAGGCGCGCCGTGATGGGGAGGAGGTCTGTGGTGGTGCTGGTGCTGCTGCTGAGACATCCTGTATTGTTCTTCCCTGCGACGCTGTTCTTCCATTCTGCGACGCTCCTCCTCGCGACGACGTTCTTCTTCCTCGTGCTCTTTCTTTTCCTTGTGCTTCTTCACTGCGTCTTCGGCCACGGAGCCCATCATAGCTCCACCGATGGTACCGAGAAAGCCGTGGTTGACTTTGTGTCCTGCGAAGCCGCCAGCTGCACCACCTGCCAGGGCGCCCATGATACCCTTCTCGCCTTCGCCGGCGGCGGCGGGATCGGTGGACGACTCGGGAGAGTATGGAGGGGGTTGCTGGTGGGAGGAGTAGCCTTCATGCTGAGGGTAAGGCGGGTAGGGTCTCGACTCCGAGGGAGGCTGGCCGTACTGTGAAGGCTGCTCGTACTGTGGGTAAGGTGGGCGTCCACCGTAGGATGAGTATTCAGGGTTCTGGTAACCGGGTTGAGGGGACGGCTGCTGGTATGGGCTGTAAGGTCTGTTGTAGCCTCCAGCACCCTGAGGGGGATAAGGAGAAGAGGCACCGTATCGGTCATGGCCGTTCTCGACGGAGGGGGGATACGAGCCGTATCCGGTGGAGCTGGGAGTGTCGACGGCCGGGGATGACCAGGGAGAGGGGTTCTGCTGACGGCGATCAGGGTTGGCGGGGGTGGCACTGCTGCCACCGAAGTACTCTTGAGCTGCCATCGTGAGGTCTAACTGTGTTTGTAGACGGCTAGAGGAGATGATGGAATGTATTAGAGATGCTGGAATGAAGGATGAGAGAAAAGCAAAGAAACGATCAAGAGGAGTGTTGACTTCTTAAGCGGGAAAGCTGTGGCTGTGCGGGGTTGGGGGAGGGGCTGCCTGAGACCCCGCTAACCTGGCCCAGTAAGCGCGAGTCAGGCACCAAGTGGCGCAGTCAAAGGGCGGCGGATTGATTGGTGGAGAGGAGAGCTCTGATGGCTGTTCCATGGGCGGGACTTACTTAGGGCTGACAGGAGTGCCTGCACAGCCCCACTGCTTCTGTGCCTACAAGCTCTTTCACGGCGCTTCGCGGGCTCATCTTCCCTGAAACATACAGGAAGCTAAGTAAGGATAAGACTTTCCGCTTGAATTAGCTGATGTGAGAAGTGTGTATACACTATAATGTATGCCGTCATACGTAACTGATGCAAGTATGGACACTGAATGTTGATTTCATTGCTGCCTATGACCGGATGTGGGGGCTGAATTCTGGGCAAGGGTCTTCGACCATGAATTTTTTACTCATTACTTGGCTTTCCCAGATGTATGACTTCTCTGTCTTTCACCGACTTGAGACAGGTCAGATCGATCTGCTTCCCACTGCACCCAAATCAACTCCCTCCTTCATTACGACAGGGCTGACTAGACTCTCGACTAAAACTAATATCACATGCCCCATGTGACTCAGTTAAACTCAAGTAAAAGCCTATCCCTACACTGTGTTAATCGTCCGAAAATCTCAACATTCACTATCACGTCATAAGACATCATGGAATAACACAGTCATAAGCGAACATTCATTCACAGCCTAGACAGCAGTTGAAAGAAAGCCTAGCCAAGGCATGGATGGCCACAAGCGAGAAACCGAAACACACGGAGCGCACTCTCATTTTCATGAACTCATAAGGGACTTCGAACGGTCCACTTCAAAGCTTGGGTGGAGCGAACACCCTGTTTTCCCTTTCAGGCATAGCTTCGGGGCCGTGGTCCACCGTCAACAGCTGCACCGCCACCGAACATTGATCAGCATTAACGCATGGTTCAATCGATGGTCTGGTAGATGACACCATTTGTGAATGACGGGAACAGGGAAAGGAAAGCATGTCTGTTCTAGGCCTTGCTGTATAGCATGCGCCTCATGCTCGAGCAGATCTTTCAACCTTAGCCATACAATAGGTTTTCGTGATGATAATACTAACTTTAATCACTATGATCACAATTAACATCCACCTCCGATTAAAGTATACACGTTATCTAATGTACAAGAATATATACAGCCATCACCCCCGAGCGATATAAAACCCATTCACGGCAATCTGTTTATCCCTTGCCTCATACGTCGGAGCCCTAACCCCGATCCAATGCAAGGGAACCTTCTCCGCTAGCTTCTGCCCTCGATACTTGACGTTCTCCACACCTTCTCTAGTTCTATCCATCCAGCCTCCACTTCCACTTCCGCTCGCTCCGTTGGTGTTTATAGCTCGCGTCCCCGAGAAGGACCTATCTGCTGCCCAAGCAGGATGTTCGAGAATGCTCTGCGCATACGACATATCGCATGCATCAGCTAACATGGCCGCCTCAGCAGCCGCCTCGCGAGCAGCTATGAGATCCTTTTCTGTCTGGCCTCTAGGCGGAGGTACATCTGGACGGAGAAAACCCATGATCCGAATCTGAAGCTTGGTTTGAGATCGTACCGGCACAGCGGGTTCATCGATGAAGCGGACAGTCGTGATCTTCTGCATAGCGCGCGAGAGATTGACGCGTTCCTGTTGTATCAGATCAAAGTATACAATCGAAAACACGACGCCCTGCCACGTTCCTGAGGCTGAACCAGGCCCTCTCTCCGCTGTCGCCTCAACACCCTCAACTCTCGCCCACCCAAAGAAAAACCCCCGATACCGATCCAGCACCATATCAGGCACTTTACCTACCCTAAACCGAAGCCCATCACTATCTCCCACCTCCACCCTCGCCGTAAGATATACCGGAAACGGTGCCTTCGGCCCCTCCTCCAGCGCAAGCTGATACCCTGCTTGCACATCCCTCAACCCATTCCCATTCCCACTCCCACTCCCTCCCCCATCATCATCATCCCCACCAACCCCCAACACCGACCCAACCCTATCCCCGACCCCACTAACCGAAACCGCCGTCTCCGCCGCCGTTTGCGTCACCCAACTCGGCTGATACGGCTGCACCTTACTCTGCACGGCGGCCGTAACCGGCGCCACGACCGCCTCAGCAGCAGTCTGAACATACATCCCCAGCACCATAGCCCCGACCTCCAACGGCATAGTCGACAAACTAGCCCCCCTACACGAACTAGGACTCAAACTGGTCGACAACACCCGAAACACTGGACTATAGCACATAACCTTCCTCCTATTCTCCCCATCCCCACAAAGCACAAGCTGGAAATACCCATCCCCGGCCTCAACAGGGATCCTCACCACCATCGTCTCGCGCAGCACATGCTGTCTCTCGCGCCCCGTCGCCTTCTTGCGAAATTTTCCAATGTCGCGCTGCCACGCGCGCTCATCCACCGGGTCGACTTGCTGCACGTGCACGGGGAGCGTCGGGGTGACGTTTAGCCAGGAGTCGGTGAGGCCGAGGAATGCTTTTGTTTTCATTCCAGTTTTGCCGCTCCAGCCTTTGCTTTGGAGGTAGAGTGTGCGGGTTGGTGGGAGGGGGGTGTCGGAGAAGATGGAGATGGTGACGGAGGTGGTGCTGCCGCGGTAGAAGACAATGCCGGAAGAGTGTCGCAGGATGGTGGTGTGTTTTGTGCTGCTTGTGGGGTGCGTTATGAGGCCGCCGAGGAAGTGGGTGGCTTCGTTGTAGGCCTTTTGGGCGGTGGAGGGGCCTGTCGCTGTTGGGTTTGGGGTTGTTGCGGAGCGAGGAGGGGGCGGTGGTGGTGGTGGGAGAGGCGAGGGGGTACGACTTGGATAGGATGGCTCATTGTGGGTGGTTGCAGAGCGGACAGGGAGGGGTGGTGTGTAGGGTGGTGGAGGGCGATGAGGACGTGGTGATAGTGGTTGTTGGTGGACTTGGAGTTGCTGCTTGGAGGATATGCATGGCTGTGGCGGTGGTGTTGGTGAAGGCGATACCGTTATGACGCCGCGGATGGTGCCGTCCGGGGAGGTGGTCTGGGGTAAGGGTTTGCGCTTTATTCCTGTGTTGGTGTGCATGGTGTGGTGCACCACTGGAAAATTGGGGTTATCTAGTAATCATTATGATTCAGTGGGAATGGTCAGGAGAAAAGTCCCCTGGACCCCTATTGCGATGGTCTGGATCGAGTGATGATGTCGATCGGATGCCGCGGATGTGATGAGTCAGCAGGCGATAAGATAAGATGGTTTGACAGGTGGGGATCCTTAGTCTGCAAGAAAATGTTAAAGACTTACCTATGGCATTGTTGGATGTATTAAAGCATAGATAATAGAGTGTGCATCGTTTTGCTAAGCCATTAATTAGTTCAGCATCTGTGTAGTGGTATTGCGTAATAGTAATATTGTAATCTCCCCATCATGTGGCGGTTGCATCAAACGGAAAGTATATTCCGCTGCGGCGAAGACATATAAGGAACTTCAGCAACCAGCAACACGAAAACCGTAACCATCAGCTGTGCCCTCAAGCTTGCTACTCTATCTACTAATCTTTCAAAATGTCCCACCTCACCTATTATAACTACGAAGGAGTTGGAAAAAGGAACCAGCAAAAGTTCAAATATAGCCAAGCTGTGCGCATAGGTGATCGCATTGAATGCTCTGGACAAGGTATTCCGAATTCTTGCATATATGGACACTGGGATCAATGATTAACCATTACAGGCGGCTGGGACCCAAACACTGGGGAGTTCTATAAAGAGATCAACGAGCAGATCGACCAGGCGTTCAAGAACGTCGAGCTGAATCTGAAGAACGCTGGCGGCAAAGGGTGGGAGCAGGTCTTCCGCGTGAACTCGTACCATGTCCCCATCAACAACGAAGCGCTGGATGCCATGGTTAGAAACTTCAAGAAGTATATGCCAAATCATGAGCCCCTTTGGACTTGTGTGGGCGTGACGAGGTTGGGGGAGGATGACATGAGGGTTGAAATTGAGGTGGTGGCGCATGATCCGAAATAGTCTGTGATCAGAAAACTCGGAAACAGGGCTGAGCCAAGCGGCTTATTATGATCGAAGGCCATGTATATAATGCGAACTATCATGCACGGTCCCATGTGGCCTGGTTCAACAAGTCAAAGTATCCGTAGTCATCTGGTAGTTGGCTCCAAGCTGCGAGATCAGTACCGAGCATATCATGCAGCTCCGGAATAGCCCCGTTATTAGTAGTGCCAAACATATCGAAGGCATTGTGTGCAGGATCATGGATGTCAAGGTCAACCGCAGTGATGTTACCATCCTCGGGTGACACCTCGTTCGGCAGCATGGGACAAAGCTTCCTAAAATTACTCGCAATATGTCGTGCGGGTTGCCATGCCCTAGACAGTCCATCAAGTGCAGCAAGACATATTCGCAGCTGGTTGCGCTTAGAAGGACAGTCTGGCTCCTCCAGAATGACCCGAGCTGCTGATAGCGTGCTATGCATGGCTGAAATTGGACTACGTCGGAAATTGCCAAATGTCCGGCAGTATTTCTGAGCCACCACACACATTGTCTTAGCGGAATCCCTGCATACGGTTTGAGCCTTCTCCATCGTCTTAGTCCTTGTATCAGGTGAATCGTAGTAGCAAGGGTCCATTAGGAATGGTTTGGCTAGTAGAATCTTAGTCGTATGATATACCATGTGAAGGGTATATGCCTGAGGCACAGGGTTGGGACGATCGATCCTGAGGTGCTGAGGAAGATCGTAGAACCAAGATTTTAGTGCGAGAAGGTTGGATTCGAGAAATTCCGGCCGCTCCATCCCCTTCACGAGTGGCTTGGGCCCCCACCTTTCTTGGTCAGAACGTTGTTAATGTACTTGGGATGATACTTACATTGAGAGTAGGATATTCTCGGTGATTTTACAGAGTCCGATCAGTGCTCTTTGCAGAGGGACCACTGTTTTTCGGATCTCCGGAGGTGTCTCCACGGTCTCCGCGGAATCGTCCATATCCGATGGTAACTCGACAGCGCCTTGCTGATCCTGCGCGCTGTTAGCGAGAAAAGGAGGACGGCATAAGAGAACTGACAAGCATCGAGCATATCCGCCCCGTATAAGTAGCGGAAAGCTTGTCATGACAATAGAGTGTCCAATAAATTTGCCTTCTCAAGCGTGCCTCCCTGGCTGATATAGTGACCGTACTTGCAAAGCCTGCCGGATCCATGTTCAAGCCCATGTCAAGACATAGTCGGTCCGCCATGCCATGGTGTAGCCATCCAGCAGCATCTTTGCCGATTGCCTATTCGCCTTTATAAGTCACAGATTCTGATTGCATTTGAAAGAGAGAACCCACAAAGTAGACCATGCCAATGACTCCTAGAGCCTGAATAGTGACAAGAGTAGGGTTTTCCATCTCTAAGTGTAGAAGACTCTTCGCTTGGGAGAGTAACTCCAGACCGGCTGAGTTTGGATCATTGGAATCTAATCGGACTTGCAAGCTATCGGAATATCGAGAGCCTAAAGCGAGAATAGAGTAGTGAAGCAGTGGACTCCAGTATTTTCCCAGAGAGTTCATGCTCTCCCTGAATAGAGTCTCGTCGACAATGGGATACCATGGTTGTTCCCATGTAAAGTAAAGATTAATGAGCTCGTTCTGTAGAGAGATAGGGATTTCGTCGATCATTGGACTAGGTACTGTCAGACCGAGGTAGTCATCGATGCTATTGAGCGCAGCATCCGCCTGGGGGTCATATTGTGAAGTTTTTCGGTTTCCACCGCTCGACGGAAGGTCCTGGAATCCCAGCCGCCCACTGGTAGGCCCGAAGTACCGCATCTCCCCATCTTTGTCAAAGTTCAGTGACTCGTCCAGCGAAAGTTGTCCTTTGAGAGATTCACATAAACTATCCATCGCGGTGCATGTCTCGTCTATTTTTTCATTTACCAAGAAGCTATCCAAGCCTTTGCCAGGAGGCTGCGAACCATGATCTATGGTGTTGATACCGTGCTGGTCTAGCAGCTTCTCCAGCGATTCGATACGCTGCCTAAGGAGTAGGACGTACGACTTAGAAGCCGGTCGGCGCCCATCTTCAGTGCCTGAATATTGACATGACACATTCCACTGAAGGCATCTGGAGCATGACGGTTTTACTCCGTCACACTATAAGAATTAGCGATCGTACCATAGTGAGCTAGGTCATGATTGTTCTCTACTTCGAGGTTTTACCTTAGCTCGCCGCCGACGGCATTCTTCGCACGCTTTGGTGGTGTATTTACCACGAGATTTTGCCCTGCTTCTCCCATCCCGTGATGAATCCATTGCAAACTAGAGGCTTTACATAGTTTAGTTGGAGATGGAGGCTTGATGACATTACAGAAGGTCGCAGCCCATCGTCGATGAAAACTGGGTCACTGTGGGGAAAAAACCGGTCAATTTGTCAGCATGAGCATCACAGCCATCTGGTTAGTTAATCGTTGAAGCCCTGAATGACTTCAACGTGGTGTTATCTTAGAACTAGTTGATTTCAGTTGGATAAATACTCTAATTCATTAGTGGGTGAATCACAAAATCAAAATCATGAGGATTTATACTGTTTGAGTTAAGTCAATCAATTTCTTAGCCTTGGATTATTTGGCACAGCCAATTAGCTAGTGGATGTCAGCCGCAGAGAGAAAGCTCCGCGCGTAATTTCTTCCACGTTGTACAAGGAGTATATAAGTGTAATGAATTTTGCCAACTAACATCCAAGTTCACTCGTAAGTCTTGGAGATGGCCGTTGGAGTAACTGTTGGCCGACCTTCCTGGTGGCGCTGGTTGGCTTCGCATGCCGTCCCGGTCGGTGAAATACCTGCATGCATTAATCTTGACAGACGGCGCTCATCAAGACGGCTTCATTATCCCTGTCCACAGGGAATTGTGACCCTAGCGTCACGAAACAGCCCCTTTTCCTGTCCTGAATCTGACCTCAGATGTGATAAGCATCGGTATTTCCCGGAGCCATGGCTTGGAGCTCGTGGCTCGCACGGACAGCTCATGTCTACCACGCGTTCCCCGTGAACGCGGATAGATCCATCTGGGGGCGCAACGTCAATCACCGGCGTCGGAGACTCCTTCCCGCGCTTCAAACCGTCGTAGTGCTTAGCTTCTTAGTGCTTAGCTAGAGTTAATACTCCATGTTATAGCACCCACAGGGCAGGCGCAAGGCTGGTACCGATATCTTACAATACAGGCTGTGCTAATTCCCTGCACTGGGCTGGGCATTAACCCTAGAAACGGCCACTTAGCGCCCTGCGTTGGCATCTATTCCCTGCTAGTTACACCCTTAGGCACCCTTAGTTACCCCAACTAAATATTCGCCAGTGATATAAACGGCTTTTCCAATGCCCATCATAATCATCCCTTAATCCCATTCTTCTTTTTTCTTTTCCTCATCATCCCCCAATCTTAAACCTTCCCGCAGCTCAAGCTTTCCTCCCCAATGCAAGGTTTCGACTTCCAACGGGAAGGCCTTACCGGCCGCATCGCCATGGCTTTGGCGGCGGTATGCCTCATCTCATTCTTCTACAAGATGGTCAAGACACGACTGTTCATGTATCGTCTCAAGAAACAAGGAATGGTATGTGAATTCATCTTGGATACGTCGATCTCGACTAACAGACTATCTAAAGCCAATGCCTCCCTGGGACCCCATCTTCGGACATCTGCGAATTATGCCCGGTCTTGCCAAGAAGTGTCCCAGTGATGCCATGCAATCTCAGTCGTTCGCTATCCTCTCAATGGAGTACCCAGGACTGCAAAACGGTTTCTATATTGATGTTTGGCCATTCATGTACCCAATGTTCGTCTGCACCACTCCGCCACTCGCCGTGCAGGCCTGTCAGACCTACAATTTGACCAAACCAACCGACCTCCTGGCTGGATTTATCAACCCAATGGCGGGTGGAGATAATTTCTTCACGACCAATGGTGCAGTGTGGAAGCGTGATCGCGAACTGTTCAACCACGCTTTTAGCATGGCAGCTGTGCTGGGGCATGTAGACTACATCCTAGAGGAAGCAGAGATCTATGTTGAAATTCTTCGGGAGCATGCCAAGAAGGGCGATACGTTCTCCATGGACGATCTTGCCTGTAACTATATGATGGATGTAGTTGGCAATGTCGCACTGTAAGAACAACCGCATCGTGAACATGTCTGGTGATTACAGCCACTGACAAACTAACAGGAACACTCGATTCAACTACCAAACCGGCCACAACCCCATCGCCGCCGCAATGCGAAGCACCATCGAGCTCGAATGCGGTCGAGAAGGAGAGAACAACCCCTTGCGACGCTGGAACATTCACCGGCTGTACCGTCAATGGCGAAACAGCAAGATCATGGACCACCATATCGGCCTGGAACTCGAAAAACGCTACCAGGAATATTTACAACACGAGCAAACTTCCAAGACCCGCGGTAAATCCATCATGGACATCGTGATCGCCGAATACATGAAGAACCGACCCGCAAGCCAAACCCAGATCTCGACCCTAGACCCCGAATTCAAAGCCTGGGCCATCATCCAAATTCGTCTCTTCCTCTTCGTCGGACACGACTCAACCGCCGTGACTATTATCTACTGCCTTTACCTCCTCTCCAAATATCCCAACACCCTCGTCAAGATCCGCCAGGAACACGAACAAATATTCGGCCCCGATACCACGACCGTCGCATCACAAATCAGGGAACACCCCGAAAAGATCAACCAATTGTCCTACACCACCGCTGTCATCAAAGAAGCACTCCGTCTCTTCCCACCAGCAAATGACATCCGATGGGGCCGTCCAGGCATTTCACTCACTGACACCCACAGCACCGATGGACGGACCTTCCCTGTAGATGACTGCCCCGTCTGGATCGTGCATACCGCTATCCAACGGAACCCAGGGTACTGGCCCCATGCGCACGAATTTTTCCCCAATCGCTGGCTCGTTGAGCCGGGGCATGAGCTCTATCCGCCTACTGGTGGATGGCGGCCCTTTGAGCGTGGTGCACGAGACTGT